ATCCAGGAACGATCGACGAACCGTCGATCTCGCCTCGACGCTTATCAAGCTCGACCTCGACAAACTTCGAAACTATATAGAAAAGAAACACCGTTCTGCGGAGCCCTAAGTGAGATACACATCTGGTAACTTTCGAAAGGGTGTAACTGGAACGTGTGTAAACAAGTTTGGTAGAGAGAAGTGGCGGAGTTTTTTGGGGGGATTATTTCGAGCGACGAAAGAAACACATCATTTAGTCGAATTAACTCGGAGGATCGAGAGATGGGGAGGGAGGGAAAAAAGCTAGAATAAATTTGATTTCACTCCGGTCGTTTCACCGAGGGTATAAATTCACGGGGAAATTTTACCGGCACGGGTGAGAAGGAAGGGTGAAAAAGTAGCGAGAATGTGCTCGGTCGTTTGGTCGATCGTGGTACGGTCGGCAGTGGTACGAGTTTAAAATTTCTCCGACCGTGTCAAACCGAACCGGGTGAAGCAACGTAACGAGGGAAGAGGGAGAGACGAGACGTTTTCTCTGGCGAACTGTCAAGACACGAAGACAGGCGGAAACGAGGGAAAGGAATCGGTTGATACCGGCAGGCACACTTCGCTGAAAAGTTTATAATTGCCCGCGGAAACGGGCAATCAGGTTAATTTCGCGTGCACGCGTTCAGTCCTCCGAGCAACCGTGAAAAATGGAATAAAACGCGGAGCGATTCCGTCGGAAACGAATCGTTGCCCCTGTCGAAATGTACCGCGTACTTTTCTCCCCCTTTTTTTTTTCTCCTCTCACGCGCCCCCTCGTTTTGGCACATTTCCTCCGTGTTCTCTTCGATTTGAACCACCGCCGGAACGAATTTCACGCGGTTTTCTCGCCACGATGCGGGTATCCCGCGCTGATCGCCACTCTTTTTAAACGTCGACACACGTGTTATTGAATTTTTCATTCCCCGCTGGGAGAAATAGGCGGAGGGTGGGAAACATTCGTACGAACGGAACGATACTTGGCAAACGTGTACACAGCCAAGTGCAACCTCGTACGAAATAATTTTCTCCGTGTGTGTGTGTGTGCGTGTGTGTGGGTGGAAGAGCTGATTAGAGGGTGGAATAGCTGCGTAATCGGCGACCGCATTTTTCACCCGCTTTCTCGCCGGGGCGATCGACGTGAGTGGCGTAATGGAGAAAATTCGCTATAACAAAACTCCCCCGGTAGGGTACTTGTTCGCAAGGTGAATTACGTGTAGAGTGGGCTGAAAAGGGGCGATCGTGTTTTACGGGCACTTGGGAAGGAATGTAAAGTCCAGGTTGAAATCGAGCCAACTTCGCGTAACGTTCACCGAGTTCTCCCCGTCGTAAAACAAGAAGACACGTGTATGAAAGGTGGGGTCGGGAGGGGGAGAAAGAGATGTGAATGAATTTAGAGGGAGAAAAGTTTGTCGTATTTTAAAGGAGGGATTAGAGGAACCTTGACAATGGAGTGACAACGAAGAACGAGACAGGCGAAGAAGAAGAGGGAGGAGAAGAGGAAAAAGAACACATAGGCGGGAAAAATTTGTTCGTTAAAGGATTATAGAGAAGAAGACCTGGTCTCGAGGTCGGCTTTAACGTCCGATTAAAGCTATTCAAGCGTCCCGGGGCTTGATTTGCCTGTCTTGGATAGGAATTCCAGCCGCGTTTTTTTTTTCTCGTTTTTTTTTCTTCTTTTTTTTTGGGGACAGTGCCACGAATAAAGTAAATGTTCATTTGTCTATCCTAATAATTAAAATACTCGTGTTTTGCCCGTAGCACGGCTACGAACGTGTTTCTCACAACCTTATCACAACCTTATTATAGAGTGCCCTGGTGACGAGGTCGAGGTCTTTCTCAATAACCAGTCTTTTCTCCGCGATCTACGATTCACCACCGCCTGTGTTACCGTACACGTATTTCTCAATTTTCGAATAACCTAAACCCTCACAACCTGTGATCCTCACCCTGTATCATTCTTCTTCCTCGTTTCTTTCTCCTGCTGTTCTCCGTTCTTTCGATTTGGCGCGGCACTCGAGGGGACGGCAAACGTGTCACCTATTCCCTCGTTAATCAGTAACGATTCGTTTTAATACAAACTCCTCGCGCTTCGATCATTCGTCGAATACGAAACAAAAAGGCGCACGGTCTCAATATGATCGACAACGCGTTTCAACTGTACACTCGTCGCGACAATACGCATTGTTATCCGCTGTCCTATTAACGAATTGATTCGTTCGCAATTATATTATTACCGAGTTCACGCACACACACACACACACACAAACACTCGCGTACGTGTTTCATATAAACGAGATCGACGCGTTATTAACGATTCCAATCTCCGATATGTACCGTTGGTGTTCCTTTTTTTTTTTTTCACTTTAACAACAACCGATAGAGAGAGAGAGAGAGAGATCGACGAAAAAGTGTTTTCCAATTGAAACGTTGACGAACGTTCGTGGCACGAGGAGCAGCAAATCTTTGTATTCGGCTCGCGTACGAACGGCGATCATTCTGTGCACGATCCGTGCGCGCGTGTCGCGCTGTAGCTGCGTATCAATGGAAAGAAGTCTGGAGGGGACTTAAATGTAATTTTATACAGAGAGAGAGAGAGAGAGAGACATGCAGACCGTCGTAACCTTCTCCTTCTCCTACCTTTTCATCACTTCTTCTTCTCCGGTGTATCTGTGTGTCTACGTGTACCTGTGCTGTACGTGTGTTGTACTCGACGGCGAGACGCCCGACGTCCTCGCCAACGACGCTTTATTAATGTGTATTTATGTATATATACATATATAATTTTTTTTTCAATTTTCTTTTCTTTTCCCTTTAACCGCGTGCTCTCCCTTAGCGCTCGGATCTCCTTTGTTATCGATACTATTCACAACCATAATAACTTGCGATTGATAATAAACGGGGGCGGGTAACGTCTACCGCACATTTAAGGAATACGCGAGAGATCTTTCGCTCGTTATCGTTGCTAAGAAAAGAAGAAAAAAGAACGCACCTCTTCGTCCCCCTTTCCGCGGAGATCATCGTTTTCTCGAAACCGACCCCCTTTGAAGTCGATGCGCTTTCCACGACCAAGTTTTATACGCCCATTACACGACAAACTTCTCTCCGTCGGTCGTACAAATGGGATGGAGCTATTGAATATCTCTAACAACATCCTACACGTTCGTTATCGTAAACTCCAATTAAGATTCTCGATCTGCCGAGAAAGAGAGGATATTCCGTTGGATTTGTACGAAGGATCGTGTATAAAAGAGCATCGAAATTCATCGGAGGAAATTAACAGGTCGAAAGGGAACTTGATACACCGTCAAAGGCGTTCCTCTCTTCAAAGAAGCAACACTGACTCGTTTAGATCCGCCGCGACGAAAGATTTCCAATGGCCTGTGTGACCGTGAGTCCGTGGCATTTCAGGCAACACTCTGTTAAGAAAGGAGGGATTCTCCGAAGGGGACAGAAGGGTTGAAAACATCGAGGAAGCAAGCGGTCGACATCAAACGAAATGCTCTTTCACCAGGGCTATTCGAGAGAACGACGATCGGCCGTGAAGAGGGGGGAGGCTAATCGTCTCCATTGCTCCACGAATAAATCTCCGTTCGTTTCTCCGCCGTTTAAAAGAGAACATTCGAACGGGCAGTTTTTTCTTTGTTTTATCTCACCTGTATATCTCGATACAGGTGTTTTTTTACCCACGGTACGTGCGAGTATACCATTCTAGGATGCGTAATGTTCTCTATCGTCTAAAACATCTTAACTGGAGTTCTTGGTCGATTTCGTAGAAAATTTCCTTATCCGTAAACGTGAATTGCTCTGCTTGTGTATTGAGATTGGCCGATAATTGAGGGTAGTTTCCCCCCTTTTTTTCTTCCTTTTTTTTTTTCTATACCAATCGTTCCGTCGTCTCTTCACCCTTCATATACGAGTCGAGAAATGTCTGAAATATATTACACAAGTTCACCTAGTATCCACGAAGATAATGAAAAAATCGATTCGTCGAGGTGAAAGTTCGAATCCTCCAGTTCCGCTTAGAGGGTGATTTATTTTCACTTGGTTCCACGGAAAATGGAACGATCGAGAACGCGCCAGGATGAAATCTCCTCGCGTGATCCGGTGCTCCGAAACGGCGACCAATTCAACGTGTAGAATCGAAGGGCCGCTGTGTTACTTCCATCGTCGATTGATCAAACAGCCGTCGATCGATCCAATTCTACACGGTCCGTGCCCTCTGAATCACTCGTGAACCGGAAGCGGTCGAGTTTATCACTGGATGGCGGGAACCGGCAACGTCAGCCAACAGGACGAAACGATCGAGAGTGGACGACGATCCCAGCCGGCGACTTCATTTCCTTAAGATCCCTTATCCAGGTGCTTGTTTCCCCCCCGCTCGCTTTGCAGGATTAATGGAACAACTTTAATGGAACGAGCGTACGGCGCGAGAGAACGTCGCCCGCGAAATTAGACTATCGCGTTCGCCGTTTCGTCGCTTAATCTTCCAAGGAGGAGGCGTCCAAGCTGTATCCAACTGCTTTACTCGTTATCTCTTGTCCTCAGACGTCGAGGTTCGACGCTATTGAAAATTGATCCTTAAACGTACGTTTAAATTGCTCGATGCACTGAATTATTATTTACACGATCTTCCACCGAAGAAAAACAAGAACAAGAGAAAGAAGAAAGAAGGAAGAAACGAATACGGAAACTCGTATCGCGGTAAAATTTCTTACGATCCAGTCAAAAGCACTCGTCGATCGTTCCGTGGCGCGAAACGAACGTTAAAACGATCATAATACCGTGACCAACCACTGTCCTCGTGGTCTCCGGATCCAGGCAACCGGCCAACTTTCCATCGTCGTCGTTGTCGTCTCCCACAGCGGCCAATACCGCTGCGATGGATCGAAGTTTCGCCCAGGTCCCCGTTGCCCGGCGAATCGAAAGGATAATGAGAACGAGGAACAGCGTTTCCCACGATGATTAAACGGAACATTCAATCCTTTATCGCTGTTTCAGCGAATGCGGAGCAGCCTTCTGAAGGCTCGCCTGTAGTCCAGATTGAAGATCGTGTAGATCAGCGGGTTGAGCGCGCTGTTCACGTAACCGAGCCACGTGATGAAGTAAACCATCCTGTCGGAGGGGCAACAAGCCGGGCAGAACGGTACGATCACGTACATAAGGAAGAACGGGAGCCAGCAGACGACGAAAACGCCCATGATCACGCCGAGCGTCCTCGCGGCGCGTCTCTCCTTCGACAACGAGATCCTCTGTCGTTCCTCGATGAATTGATAGACGGTGGTAGTTGTCGGCGGTGTTCTACCGCTGCTTGCCAATCTTCTAGAAGACGTAGACGCGTTTCCACCACCGCCTATCGTTACTTCGGTCGGCTCGTCGTCGATCAACGACGGTTTCGCGTGCGATCTAGGCGTCGATCTTTCGTTATGATTCGTCTCCGAGCTGACCGATTCTTCAGCGTCGTCCGCCTCGCGATGTCTCGTCGATTGAACAGCGTCTAATCTACTTTGCCTGGCGCGTTCTCTCAGCCTCCTTCTCGTGGCTAAGAAGATCTCGAGATAGACGAGGCTCATCAGCAACAGTGGTATGAAGAACGAGCCTAACGACGAGTAAATCACGTAACCCTGTCTTCTGGTTAATTGACAAGGTGTTCCAGGTTCTAATTCCTCTGGCCAATCGTTCCAACCGGCCAACGGTGGTGAACTGATCGCGCCGGACAGTATCCATACACCTGCTATCGTAGCTAGAACTCTTTTCAACGTACGTTTCTGAGCGTAATTGATAGGATCCGTGATCGCCCAGTATCTGTCGAGCGCTATGGCGCATAGATTGAGTATGCTGGCGGTGCAACATAGAACGTCACAGGTCAACCATAGTTTGCACAGATGTATACCGAAGATCCACTTGCCGAGAAGGAGATAGGCGACGTTGAACGGCATGACGAGAATAGCCACCGCAAGATCAGCCACCGCCAAAGACACGATGAAGAAGTTCTGAACGATACGTAACGGCCTGTATGTGAACACGCTTAGGATCACCAACGCGTTCCCCAATACCGTGGCCAGAACGAGGAAACCCAGTGTCAGGGACGCGGCTGCGGCTTCCCAAACTGGTAAGTTTGAACCTGTTTCCTCCTCCGGTGGACCGCAGCCTGTTACCTCGTAGTCTTCGGTCATCGTGCCGCCTGACTCCCCGCTCGAGTTCATGTTGTCGAGCCTGGACCCTGGAACAATGGCCGTTCGTTAGCATTGATCTGATTAAGCAACGATAGGCAAACTTCCATTTCTTCCAACTACGGAGAAATTAGTGGTGACACTTTGGTTACGTTTTTGCCCTCTTAAGAGGTTTCATCTATGCAGAGGATTTAAAGCAATGTGTTTTCCGACGAGTTGGAAGTTTCGACACTTTACCGATATGGCTCTCTGCTGTCGACGCTTGTCGCTCTTTAATTTTCTTAAATTTAATTACCCTGTAGTAAGAGAAAATGAACGATATGGTAAGCACTGTGCGCTATATACTGAAAATTTGTGTAGTTGTGGGAATAAGCGCTTATATTCTCACTTGATGGTCAAAACCGAGCCGGTGTTAACGATGTACACGCGCCCGAATTTAGTATGTTCAACTACGAGCTAAAATTTCAAGAGTACGTCTTGAAAAATGAACGCAGTTCAATTGTCAAGAATTTAGAGAGTTTAGGAACATTCGTCATTCGTCAATATTTCTTCTTAGAGACACACGGAGTTTCGGAAAGAATTTACGCACATATCGTAAAGGGTTAGAAGGACAAAGGAGAATTTCAAGATTACCCTGCCTCTTACGAATTGTCGCGAGGAATCGTCGCAATTGTCTATCTCCCTTTTGTCAATCACTGTATGCTGGTCTTGAAAAATGAATGCAGTTCAATTGAGTAGAATCTACAAAGTTTAGGAATATTCATCGAACAACCATCACCATTCCAATATTTTTTCCTAGAGACACTCGGAGTTTCGGAAAGAATTTACGCACATATCGTAAAGGATTAGAAGAACAAAGGAGAATTTCAAGATTACCCTGCCTCTTACGAATTGTCGCAATTGCCCGCGTTTCTTTTGTCAACGAACGCACGCTGGAATGCGCTGCATTGAATGTTGCGTTTGAAAGTAATCGCTGGCTGGTTTGAAAGGCCGTATAGAAAATAATAGAAAAGAGCTACGGTAGTGGTTTTTAAGTGCCAGCGGTAAATCCCAGTAGCGTCGTCGTCGGTGGAAGTGTATTTTGCCTTTCAGGGACTCTCTTCATCTCCATCCACTTGTTTTTTTCCCCCGAGTGCGCGGTGTGCAGGATTTTACACGCGACAGATCAAAGTAATCCGACGCGAGACGAAGATAATCCTTGATCGGTGATATCAGAATGCCAGCTGATAACCTCCTCCTCTCTCTCTCCCTCTTTACTTATCCGCCAGTTTTACGTCACGAACGTTCAACGTTGCCCCCCTCTCGTTCCCTTTCAACCACCAGAAACAACCCTCCAGCAATTGTTTCTCGAACAACCTGCAACCTCTTTCTCTCCCGCCGCGGAAACTTTCGCGAAACTTTCTCTAAACGGTAACGAGATTTAACGCGTACGAAACGGCTACGATGTTTCTTCCTTAAACCACCCCGAGCAGAAGAGGGAGAAAGAGAGAAGACGTTCGTTAACAGGACGAATAATCCGGGGAAACAATTAAGTGAAAAAGCAAATAACCAGACCGTGAAATAACAGCGTTTGCAAACGAACAAAGAAGCAAACAAATGGCGTATAAAAAAAAAGCAAAAAGGGTGGAGAAAAAGATCCAATGGTATTTCCGCTGGGGAATAGTTCGCCAGAGATACGCGTAGCCGAGAATAATCAGCCGCGGGAAAGGAAGAAAAATTCGAAAGCACAGAGGCTTGGAACCGTTTAAGAGCGGAGGGGAGTGGACGGATTAAACGATTGTCGTGCTTGTTTTAACACCGACGCTACAACGTCCCTCTTCTCTGTGGTCCGTGTAGTACGCGTGCACAGGCGTGGACGTTACAACAGCTTTTACCATGAAAATTCGCGACTACCTTATCGAGTGACTCCTATCCGGGTTTATAGCGCAGGAAATTTCCGTGGCTGCGCTGTAGCAACTCGCCAAATTATTTCCAACGTAAACACTCCCCACCTCGACTTAGCGTGCAATCTCCAAGCTGGATATTCGACGACAGGTCGTTAGAAATTTAAATTAACAACGCGGAACGATAGGAATTTTTTTCAATGAAATCCCTCCCAGAAACCGCGCGAAACTTCCTCCACTACCCCATTGTCACTGTATCTTTTCACGGGGGAAAAAGAGTCGTGCTGTGAGTAATCTGATTGCAAAAAGGACGTGGTTTGTAAAAAAAAAACATTGCGATACTACAACCCCTCCAGGGTATTTCTTTTCTTCTTTATTTTTCAAACGATAAAATCTCCAAGGAGTATAGTTAATAAGGATACTCTCGGTTCTCCACTTTTGTACCGACTACTATCCAATTTTCCCTCGCGAACCTGTCTGCTACATTCTGCAAATTTGAACGAAATTCTACGCGGTATATGTAAAATAATTTCTCTCCTTTTCAGATACCATAGATTTTATTCACCCTCCCTCTCTTTGCGCGCGAGATTTTCACCGAAAAAATCAATTTCCTTCGATATGATATTCCAATTCCACCCCCTTTTGTTTCGTCGTTCGATAACCAAGAGGGGAAGTAATTATTGGCAATGAACCACGACGAAATGCATCCACGCTCCACTTGTTCGAACCCGCGGAATTCAATCTGCTGGTAAGATCGAGAATACGGTATTGCTGTTGGACGTTAATGGATCTCTCTGTGGCATGTTACGCTTCTCGATCGATAAGTTTAAACGACCGAGGTAGCCCCATAGAGGATTCTATTTCGTTCGGCCCGTCTTTTCTCTCGGTTCGTGGTGAAATACACCTGCCGACAGGAGTAATGAATAAAAATAACTGCTAGGTGTGGAACACACGCGCGTTTATGCGCACTTATCAACTTTATTCATCGCCAGTGTTCGATATGTATATGTATATATCACGAGATACAACCGAACGGGTTGTATCTGAAGTTTCCACCGATATTTATATGTCCCCGTTAAATTTCGCCCCGGTGTTCGTTACGCGTTCACCACCTGTGTTCTCTATCGTTCATGCGTGCGTGAAAAATGAAATATGCAATAACTTCCTGATCACGTTCGTTCGGCTATTCTTTACACGGAAAAAACGAACTGGGTTATTAAAAGAAATTTATTTTGCAGAAATTTATTGGAAAATATTGTTTTTCTCTTTTTTTCTAATCACGCCCGGGAATATATTTTGTGAACCTATGAAAGAGTAGAGTTTGTATCGGGGAATGCTGGATTATAGGGATGATTGTGACGAGTGTGTGGTCTGGAGAGATAGAGGTGCGAATGAAGAGGGTATCGCGTGTGAATATTTAGTTAAAAACGATAACTTAGATTCTAAAATTTGAACTGTTTGGGCCCAGTATTTGAATAGGTCCCTACTGCGAAAAATCGGGAAAAGCCATTTTGGCATCGGTCTGAAGTACAGGGAACGTGTCCTAATGGATCGAGCGAATTCTGAAGGAGGTGCGTATCATTGGTCAGGACAAGGGAAACCCATTCGCATACCAAAGGTTGGGTGGTGCCTACCGCCGCAGTGTGAATGATAAGTGTTTGAAACGAGAGCGCGAGAGTATCGGGTGAAGGAAGAAAAGTGACCGCCGAGAAATTCGGTAGACTTGGCTGGATGCGTCTTGAGAGTGTCCGCGAAGAGTGAAAGAGCTCGAGAGAATGAGTGAAGGAAACGATAAAACAGGGTGAATGAGACGCGCAGGAAAGCATTGAGAGTCGAACTATCGTTGAGAGAGAGCATCAGAGAGCGCGAATTATAGAGTATCGAGTAGAGTTAACCCTTCGACAGTTTATCCCGAATCAGACTGGGCAGTGCGTTAAATAACGAACAATTCAACACAAAAGAGACTTTCAGGAAGAAAGTACGAAAGGGACGAGATACTATTATCACACTGTGCTTTAAAAACAATCACACACGACGTAATTATTAAAAAGATACGTGCAAAATATGAATTTTATTCGCTCTAATTCGTAACTATATTAGACTATCAAAGGGTTAAGAGTTGAAGACTTAACTAGACTGAATTATCTCAGTTAATAAACTGTTGTTCTTATTAAATCTTGCGTACCGTCCAGCACCAAACATTCCTACAGTATTTTTTTATTATTTTCCAAGCTAAGAGAATATCTAGCAAGATAAGAAAAAGAACGTTTCCGAAAAAGGGAAGAAACGTGGAAAGTATTCTCAACAGAATATCCCGGACTCTTTCTTTCCCTCGTCCAACCAACGATTCTGCAGAGGACACCCCGTTATTCCAGTAGCGTTTCGACCTCGATAAAGGCACCCACGTTTCGATGGAAGCAATCGCAACGGGATCGAGCATCCGCTATGTCCAGCACGGAAAGTGTGAACCGTCTTGGGGATAAAGAAATTCGTCCTGGCCAATTTCGAGGATCATTGGAATATCCTCGTCGCGAGTCGACCGGATAATACAAAGCGGATAGAACGAAACAGTTGCCCGTGGAATCAATGATCCTTACCAAGCATCCACCAGCTCTTCTCTTTCTCACGACACACACACACACACACACGCACACACTTTACAAAATGAAGAACGATAAAGGACACAGGATACGTTGGAAATTCTCGACGAACCTCTTTTATCTAAAATCATCGGCGTTTCTTGTGAAAGGAAAGAGGAGGGCAGAAAACGGGTGAAACGGTTGCCATTATCGGCTCGAAGTCATGCTCGAGCGGTGAAGCACAAGTTTGTGTTTGAGAAACCTTAAGTCGGTGGCATACCATTAGCGAGAGCCCTTCTCTACCCAGTTTCTCAACCCACGGAAATGTTAATCGATTCAAAACACTCGATTAACCCTTCACTTTCCTCAAATTGAACTATATATATACATCTCCGTCTGTTTCAATAAAGCGAAGGAATCGAAATCACACAGTAGGAACAGCTAGTTCATCGCCGTTAATGCCTCCCCGGGTTTTTCTCTACTACCGTGGGAAGTGGAGAAAGGTAGGACGAGTTGGACCTGGGTCTGGCCGTTTTTCTCCCGGCGAGAAATGAACTTCGTGGAAGTCCAAGTGCCGTGCAAACAAGA